TGTATCTCCATCAATTACGTCAGTTTGGTTTACAATATTGACATTCGGAGAATCTAAAAAAATATATCATTATGTTAACATACTAGGATGTGAACACGTTGTCAGTACAATGTAATTATATATTTATATAAGTGGTGTGTTTTCTACATATTTGATTTAACTAGTCAAACATTGATTGTGTGCTAAAATATATGCTGCATGCTTTTTGTGAGCTAAAGATTAGAATTACGCATGTCCATCTAGTCAAAGTATGCAATAAATACAATCATTTAAAATTCGTTAAAATTGACTTCACAATACAATTTGTTTTCAATGTACATCAATATACATCGTACTAACACCAAATCCTCTAGAATTATCCCAAAATATGTTTCTAGCCTGATATGTGTAAATTCCTGGAAAACGACTCAACAAGTATGTTTTTTTTCATTACTGATGATATGCTGGTTTGGATTTAGCCATAAAAGTGAGTCTACATTCGGGGTTGTCTCTAAAAAAGCATGTGATCACAAATGAATCTCCCTCTATCACAACGCCGGAAGTATCTGCATTGCCAGTCATAATTACTTCAAGTACAGGGTCGACTGAAAAGATAGGATACGAAATGCGGTGATACAATTTTGTAAATGGAGTACGGTTGTAAGAGCTAAATATACCAGTCCTACAGTCTTCACTAAATGAAATGGATTGAATGGTTTTCAGAAAATATGAAATCAATTGAAATCGAACATCCATGACTATCTTCTCTACACATGAGACTAGAGACCACTTTAGTCGGGGTACTGTATAATGTTCAAGTTGACAATCAGATACACCATCATTGTTGTCTTTATCTAATAACGTAATCCACGTATTTTACATTCTCGTCTTACTCATAACTTCTACACCATTTTGATACCATACTAAATCACCGGGTGCATTGTCATTTACGTTCATAATACAATTAAGCTTGACTTAGTTGCCGGTAATTATAGTACTACAGGGATCACCGGTACAATTTGGACGGCTTTCTGATGATGACATTATTTTAATGAGAATTCATGTACGTATCATACATAATTGACATAAAGTATCAAACACCGAGAGTGGAAGTTGACATGTTTCTGTGATTAAATGAAAACATCACGACATTTGGAATCAAAGTTGCCTATAATTAGAACCTATCAATAATAATTGAATATAAAAATGTAGTTGTTGTAATGTTGCCCATAAACAGGAATAACTAATGATCGATTGATTATTTCCGCGAAATATATTATTATATTTAGTCGCACATACCTAATACGACACTTTTAACATATCCTCTTAGCTGAATGTGTCTTCTTCACTGCTGTCGCAATCATATATACGAAGATGATATCCGTTCGCTTCACCAACAAATATCATATTCGCCGGTGTATGAGGGTACAATATTTCGACATGTTGCAATCAAAAACGATCATTTATACCATTCAACTTCACCAGGTGCTTCGCCGTCAACTAAACTACAGTTGAGCTGTGTGTGGTAGGTAACGACTACAAGGGTGTCGATTGGCTGCTCCTGAAACTCAGTAGTCTGAACACGTGTGATGCCTGTAGCTGTATTGAAATTTATATGCACATTTTACTCAAACAGTCGACGATTTCAATATGAAAACTTATGTCGTTGTTCTGTTTTTTCCTAGTACATTTACAGACACGTTTCATCATGAAAATGAATCAACTCACACCCACTACT